ATTCTTATTTTTGTATTAATTCTTTTATCACAATACAATATTGTATACAATATTATACAAAATCTTATATAATATTATACAAAAGACTCTATTTATATAATATAATATTTACTTTGTTGAATACAATGCAATGTAATTATATAGTATTTTGGAGTCTGGGGAGGGAGCTTGATTTGTTTCTGTTAGGATCCAAGAGGATCCTGGTGGCCGCAAGCTAGATCACGATCTGGGTCATAGTAGTCTTGTAGCAGTTTGGTAGTTTTGATTTGCTGGACGGTGATTAGGTTTTGGTGGTAGATTTGTTAGTTGTGTTGGTTTTGCAGCCTTGTGGTTCGATTTTGTTGGGTTTTTTTTTTTTCTTGTTTTTGGGACTGGACATCTCAGTGCAGCGGTCTGGAGTTGGCCATATCTGCAGCTGGAGGTTTTGTCCTTGTCCCCTACCTGTGATGGGTAAAGGTCCCATCTTGTCGTCTACGTCTTCCGGGTTGTTTGTGGAGGATTCCCGGCCTCCTCCTTTTTCATTGTTTTGCTAATGACAATATTCTTTTTTTGTTAAAAAAAAAAAAAAAAAAAAGCTTTCTTTCTTCATTTCTGATGAATTAAAAAAAAAAAATGCTTGTAAAGCTGTCACACCGTTGAGCTACCGGTAGCTCAACTCAACGGTGCGCAAGTGGGACATGGCCCCTCTGGAGGTGACCGCAAATGCCCTTTTTTTTTTTTTTGCATTTTCTTCAAAAATTGGCAAAAATTCCTTCACAAAAGTTCTTGCACAATTTGTGGACGTCCCCGTGTGACTACCGTCTTCACCCGAATAAAACGCCCGGTCATTATCACTGCATCTAGACTGAAAGTTGCACCAAATACAGCTATAATGACCGGGCGTTCTATTCGGGTGAAGACGGTACCGGTAGCCAAGTACCAAATCCCCAGAAAAGGTAGAGCAAGGTACAGCAGTGTGACGTGAACCGCGATCTTGTCCAATCTGAAAAGGTATACAGGAGTGTGACGAGAATATAATATTAATATATAAGATTTACTTTGTTGAATACAATGCAATGTAATTATATAGTATTTCGGAGTCTGGGGAGGGAGCTTAATGTCCGGACGTTCTCTTTTTATCATTTTTTTTTCTATTTCATTTTTTTTCACGCACACATGACGACGCAGGAGGGTCACAATCAGGAAAAAAAACAAGACAGCGTGAGGAAAAGAACTTCCTCTTGAATGCACCTATCCCCTAAACGCGGCCAAATTAAACAACGCGTGTGTGAAAGTACCCGACAGATTTACTACCTTGCTTTTTTTTTTTTTTTTTTTTTGCAGACGGGGAAGAGTTAGAAAAAACATCAAAATTGAAAAAAAAAAAAACGGAAAAAAAAGGCGTCAAAGCGGCGAATCTGGAAGGAAATCCAACGGTTGTTGTGATTAGATCGCGACTCTGGATCTCAATCCAACGATTGCGATCCCGATTCAGATGGAGATCGGCGTCACGAGTCTTAATCCAACGATTGCGATCCAGATAGCGACGGCGTTTCCGAATCCAATGATTGCGATTGCGATCGCGACAGCTACTGGAAATCCAACGATTGAGATTCAGATTCAGATCCAGATCGCGACTCTGAATCCAACGATCGCGATCCAGATTGCGACTGCGATTCTGAAGCCAATGATTGCGACTGCGATTCTGAAGCCAATGATTGCGATTGCGATTGCGATTGCGATCGCGACAGGTACTGTGAATCCAACGATTGAGATTCAGATTCAGATCGCGACTCTGAATCCAACGATCGCGATCCGGTGTGGCGGAGAGAGAGAGAAAGATTCGCGATCGTCGGATTAAGGGCATACTCACACGCACGGGGACCTATATTCCCAAAATCCCAAAAAAAAGGGGGAAAGACCGGTCGCACGGATCTACCAAATTCGCAAATGCACTATTCCTGCGCGCAAGGGTGACACGGATAAATCGACAGATGGTCGATTTTATTTTAATTTAAAAAATAAATAAGTTTAACAAAAAAGTGTCGGGACCGACTAGTCGACCGGCAACTCTTCGGAACTGATCGCGACCCCGACTGCTGGTCAGCACCTGTTCAACCATGCTTTTACAAAATTAAATTAGAATTATATATATTATAATACATAAAAGTAAAATGTAACTTTAATGTATACAATTTAAAATATTGAGTTAGTACCTAGGCTACCAGCCGGGCAGCCCGGGTCACCTCGTTTTCCCGGGCGGCCCGGCCGTGCGTGGTCCAGGGAAGATCCCAGCAAAAGAACAAAAAGCAAAAAAAATCCAAAAAATCCGGAAAAAGACTGTTATGCAAAAAAAAAAACTGAACAACACTCGGGGTCACGGGCAAGTGGTCCCCGGCCACTCTGGTAGCCTAGGTTACTACATAATACAAATAAATTAAGTTCTTAGTATATAAAATAAAATTAGAAATTACTACCCAAAAAACAAAAATCCGTACATTCCGTTCGATCATCTCTCAACCTCCAAGGAGGTTAAGAAATATATATATATCGTATATATATATCGTCACAAGCATATCAGAGCGCAATACATATCGTCACAAACAGAACTGCCTGGTAAACCGTAGGCAGAGAGAGAGAAGAGGACAACAAAAGAGGGGCTGATCGTCACATATATATATATATATATATATTGTCACACTGAGAATATATATAT